CTAGACACTTAGGTAGCTTCTGCATTTTGATGTTGTTCTTAACGCTGCTGTGCACAAAATGTATGAATATCTGCTTCAGTCCCTGCTTTCAGTTCTTTGGGGGAATATACCTATAAGTGGAATTGCCGATTCATTTGGTCTGTGTTGAAGCTTTAATTTTTTTTGAGGAAATACCATATTGTTTTTTATAGTGGCCACACCATTTTACATTGCCACCAGCAATGTGTGTGAGTGCCAATTTTTCTGCATCCTTGCCAACACAAATTTTCTTTTTCTTTTTTTCTGATATTAGCCATCCAAATAAGTATAAATCTTATCCCAGTGTGCTTTTGATACTGAAAGCTCAGTCCTTGTCCCTGATGCCTATCCATAAAAGGCCAAGGCTTTGAGAAAAAGGGACAAAGCGATTGCTTTGCTAGTAAGAGAGGGAATGTGTTCATGCCACGGAGGCTGCCATCTGATTGCTAGGGAGACCAGAAGACTTTAAACAGGTGAACACCAGGGCTATTTTTCCATAGTAGATATAATTAATGTTCAATTTTATCCTTAAAAGAGCTGTTTTCCTCTTTCTAGGTTTAGAGTTTCCTTGTTCAGGTGGGCAGTAAGCAGAAAGATGGATGACTCGGCTTAGGACAAAGAATGTTAATCTTGTTTTTTGCACAGTTAGGGAAGGGTGAGAAAAAGAAAGAAAAAAAAGTGTCAATTTTAAAATAAGCTGCCGGTGGTATAGCGGCAAGGTTTACATTTAAAACATAAAGTTGGTCCCTGTTACACGAAAGGGACCTCTGTTATAACAAATTTTGATTTGTATCTTCTTTTTTTTTTTTTTTTTTTTTGGTATCAGGGATTAAGCCCAGAGCCACTTAACCACTCAGTCATAGCCACAACCCTCCCTACCTTTTATGTTTTATATTGTAACAAGGTCTCACTAAGTCCTCAGGGCCTCACTAAATTACTGAGGTTGATCTCAAACTTTCAATCCTCCTGTCTTAGCCTCTGGAGTTGCTAGAATTATTGGCGTGTGCCCACACCTGGCTTAATTGATATCACTACCGATTAGTGATGTTGAGCAGTTTTTCCTATGCCTACTGACCATTTGTAATATTTTATGTGGAAAAAATGTTTATTCAAGTTCTTTACCCATTTTTAACTGAGTTGCGTGGGATTATTTTTGTAGTTATAGGAGTTCTTTATATTCTGAATATTAACCCCATCTTATATATGATTTGCAAATATTTCCCCTTAGTTTATAGGTTGCCTTTTTATTCTGTTGCTAGTATCTTTTGATTTACAACATTTCGAAATTTTTAAAAAGTCCAATTTATCTTTTTTCTTTTGATGATATGTCCAAAAGTTCATTGCCAAACCAATATCATAAAGCTTTTCACCTGTTTTTCTAAGAGTTTTTAAAAATTATTTTATTTTTTATTTATTCATGTATTTTATTTTTATATGGTGCTAAGGATCTAACCCAGTGCCTCACACATGCTAGGCAAGTGCTCTGCCACTGAGCTACAACCCCAGCCCTCTTCTAAGAGTTTTAGAGTTTTAGCTTTTACATTTAAGTCTTTGGTCCATTTTGATTAATTTTTGTGTGTGGTGTAAGGGTCCAATTTCACTCTTTTGTATATGGATCTCCAGTTTTCCCAGCACCGTTTGTTGAAAAGATTGTCCTTCCCCTCATTGAATGATCGAATTAGTTCTCATATTTTAGATTTACATTTCACTTTTTGGTAGGTTTTCAAAATCTGTGTATCTGCCCTAATTTTTCTTTTGCTATTTGCTCAAGAGTCGATGGAAGTAGGTGACTTTTCTTATTTTAGAGGCGGCAAGACCTGATCCTACAAAGAATACTGCCAGCCTGACGGCATGTGGATGGTGCTTGGGTTTGGAAATGGTTTGAGTGTGTCCCCCAAGGATTCATGCAAAAGGAGGTTTGGTCCTCATTGCTGTGATGTTGAAGTGCTGGGACCTTCAAGAGATGGAATGTAGTAGGAGGTTCCTAAGTCAGAAGGGGAGCTAGTTCTTATGGCACTCCAAGTTACTTCTTTTTCTCCTCCTCCTCCTCCTCCTTCTTATAGTTTTTTTTTTTTTTAGTTGTTGATAGACCTTTATTTTATTTATTTATATATGGTACTAAGAATTGAACCCTGTGCCTCACACATGCTAGACAAGTGCTCTACCACTGCGCTACAACCCCAGCCCTCTGAGTTACTTATTGAGAGATGGTTGTTATAAATGAACAAGTATAGTCCTGTACCAGCCTCTTTGGCTCTCTCTGTGGCCATGTGTTCTCCCATCTCACAACATACCCCCACCATTGTGATACCACCCACCATGAGGTCACCAGAATTGAGCTGATGCTGGTACCAAGCCCTTGAACCTGCAGAATTATGAGCTATATAAACCTCTTTTCTTTATAAAGTTACCAAGCCTCAGGTATTTCATTATAGTAATAGCCAACTGACTAATACACATGATTTGAGGAAACTTGGATCTCCCCAGATGTTCCTTGTTGCATACCCTACAGTCTTAGCATTCCTTCCAAGGCTCATATTCCTTTAGTTTAACAAAACTTTAGAATGCCAGGGATTTAGAATATATTTGTTACCTACATGCCAGTATGAATTCCTTTGCAACATTGCTTTCCTCCCAGGTGATTAGCTGAGAAGAAGATTTTAACTTTGACTTTTTTTTTGAAGTGGGATCTTCCTTTGTTGCCCAGGATGGTTTCAAACTCATTGACTCAAATGATCCTCCTGCCTCAATCTCCCTTTAACTTTAACTCTATTAGTGGTTGGGGAAAAATAAATACAGAGAAAGAAACTTGCTTTAGGGTCCAGGCCACATTCCAAGGAGGGCAGGCCTGGGTGTGGTGATATCTGGGCAGCCTGAGGCACTGAGCACCTGAGATGGACCAAGACTCAGAGGAGAAGTAATTAGGAGAGTCTAAAGATAAATTTTGCCTACTTTACAGCTGTGTCAGGGAGAGGCCCCGGTAGTGAGTGAGGATGAATAATCCAGAGATGTGACCCTTTCAGGTCTATTTTTAGACTACTCTGCTTTTAGGCACCACCCCTCCCCGCCTCCTCACTGGGGATTAAATCCAGAAGTGCTTCAATGCTGAGCCACATCCCTGATCTCTTTTATTTTTTATTTTGAGACAGGGTCTTGCTAAGTTGTTGATGCATCCTCCTGCCTCAGCCTCCCAGGTTGCTTGACATTACAGGTGTGTGTCACCATGCCCAGCATGACATTGCTTTTAGGTGTTGTATGTCTTTTAAGGGAAAAATTTTTTAAAAAATACTGAAAAATCTCTAGCTAAAGGATCTTCTTTTTGTGACAGTTGCCTCTACCTCTATTTCATGCACATATACAATTCTGTCTCCTTATGTATCTGATTTGAGTTGATTGTACTTATTTAAATAGCATATATTGGGCTGGGGCTGTAGCTCCATGCAGAGCACTTGCCTAGCATGTGTGAGGCACTGTGTTTGGTCCCTAGCACCACAAAATAAATAAATAAAATAAAGACATGCTGTTCATCTTGTCTTCATTAATGACAAAAAATTTAAAAATAGCATATATTCAATAGATTAATTCATTGATGTTGGGATAAGTATGCTCTGGTGAATTCAGGATATTTTAATAATCCCATCTGTATCTTTCAAGAATTGGGATATCTTTTAAATTACTAAAGGATGATGTTTGTTTTGTTTTATTCTGAAAGCTTCTGTTTCTGACCATAGTCATATATACTAATTGTAGAAAAAAAAGTAGTTTTAAAATTTGGTTGTCCCTAAAGCCCCTTTTGCTCATGAAGGGATAGATGTTCCTGGATCACACTCAAAACTTACTTGTCATTAATGCCTCACTAATCATCCACTTGACCCGGGGGATTTAACCATTGATGGATGTTAGTCTCATAAGAAGCTTCAGCCACTGAAGCTATAAACCCTTCCTTTGTTCCCTTGGGAGGGTTTCCTCTTTTCTGATAGAGCTAAGCACGTCTCCCTTTGTGGTCTTTGCTCTGTTGCAAGACTAGACTTGTGACGATAGAGTACACGATATCAGAAATCGCTCTTGCCCATGCTTTTCTCTTTAACAGATCACAGGACTGTTTTTAAGAAGCTAAAGAGAGAAGCTATCTCATGTTATCTTGGGCAAGCTGGGGTTTCCATTTTCTATTATCTTTCATTCAGCATCTACTTGTGTTTTTTATGTTGTTCAACATTCAGAGCCTCAAGGTTTGATTAATTTCAGCTGCCTTCAGGTAGACTGTGTGGCCTTCCCATTAACACGATGCTTGAAAAAAAAATTAAATACTAAGCAAAAACATATTTAACCTTAGTATTGGATGCCTTGCCAGATTAGCTCATGTTTCCTTTATTTACATTTTAGGGATCATTTTCCCTGCTTGGAATTATTATTGTTATTTGAGGTAATCTCTAACCAAAATAATCCAGTAGCTAATAAGTTTTTGGGTAGGAAAGAAAGCACCTTCAATTTTGGAAAAGATATGTCTAATAATACTTTTTCTTTTAAAGATTCCATTAAATAAGATACCACACTTGAGGGTTGGCTAACTCATTTGTTAAACAAATGATGAGGGCACTTTTCTCTTGAAGATTTTAGAATTTGTTCTTTGTCTTATACTTTTATTTCTTTCGCCATGGTACTGGGAATTGAACTCAGGACCTAATGCATACTAGGCAAGTTCTCTACCACTGAGCTATATCCCAGCCATGTCTTGTTCATTTTTATTGTTTGACTATAATATGCTCTGGTGAAGTTTTTTACTGGTCTTATAAGCCTCCTGTTCATTGCTATCCATATCTTTCCCAAGATTGGGGAATCTTTCTGCTCTTATATTATTGACTAGGTTTACTGTACCTAACTTTGTTTTCCTTGTCTTCAGGTATTATTTTATTTTTCTGAATGAAAATTTTAAAAAATTAGATTCTTGAATATCTTAATCTAATTAAAAATCTCAGCATACTAGACATTCACTCCGTGGTTTGTTATCTCAATCATTGTTCACAGGACTGAGCAGTTGTAGGAATAAGCAAGTGCAGACACAAAGCCCGTTTTTATCTCCACCATTGTGAAAGGGACTGTACATCATGGGACAGAACCCTGTTCTCTTCTGGGCCACTTAAACAGAGCCCAGGGAGAGTGACCTCCTGGGGTGTCCATGTTGGATGCTTCAGGTATTCCTAAAATGCAGAGATTTGTTTGTTTAGTGTTGTCCCATAGGGGTTTTTTTTTTGGTGGGGTTTTTTGGTACTGGGGATTGAACCCAGAGGGGCCAAACCACTGAGCCACATCCCCAGTTCTTTTTTATATTTTATTTAGGGACAGGGTCTCACTGAGACGCTTAGGGCCTAGCTAAATTTTTGAGGCTGGCTTTGAACTTGTGATCCTCCTGCCTCAGCCTCTTGGCCCTCTGGGATTACAGGTATGTACTACTATGCCCAGCCCATAGGTCTTGAATACTCTCTTCTTCCTCCCTCTTCTCTTCCTTTCTTCCTTCTTCCTTCCCTTCTCCCCCTAACTCTCTCTCTCTCTCTTATATTTCAGATATCCTTTCTTCTATTTGATCTAGTCTAGTGGCTTTTAAGGAATTTTAAAATTTGACTATTGAGCTCTTCTTTTCCAAGATTGCTGTTTCTTTTTAGACTCTCTCTTTGCTGAACTTCTCTCTCAGATCCTGCATTGCCTTAATTTTATATAACTATTATCTGTATTCCCTTGGCTCTCATTGAGATTTTTATAATCATACTTTTAAATTCTTTATCAGGCATTTTGTTCATTATGGGTTTCTTTGGAATCTGTTAGAGAATTGTTAAGTTTTTCTGAAGGTATCATATTACCTTTTTTCCCCCCAATATTTTATTCCCTGTTGAGATTGGCCAGATACCTCTATCACTTTTATGGGGTGACCTTCTTAGTAAGTAGCTTTCTCCTGATATATGTGTTGGGTATTAGCTGGGAACCACAGTGTCATCTCCCTATAGCTTCTTGGCTATGATGAATGCCTTTTGGCATAGTGTATGACATAGTGGAGTTGGACAAACCGAGTCTCTGGCCCACGAAAAAGTGAGGACATAGCAGTTAAGGCAGGTGTGGTGTAGGTAGTAGTGTGTGGGGTACTCACTGTGTGGGGACTTTTCCTACAATGGGACTGGTGGCCCGTATCATGAGAAGGGTGTTTCATGGGCACTGTTGATGCTAGCTCTGCTGTTAGCAAGGGCCTGTGGCAGTGGTGAGGGGCCTGAAGCACTTGGCTTTGGACCATACACGGGGAGTGGTGGTGGAGGGAACCACAGCCCCCCTGTGTGGCCCACACCCAGTCCTGACAGCAGTGCATTTTCAAACCACGTGCAGGGTGGGTGTGGTGGGAGCCACCTAGATGGAGCGGCGGTAGAAACCCTGGTGGCATTACTACTGGGAATGAGACCAAGACTAGAGCCAGTCAAGGTTCCTTTTAGGACCTCTTTTGGCTGCGTGTGCCCAGTGGTCGGGTTGCAACTCCCCTGATCCACACTCCTTTAGCTAAGTGTCTGCTGAGAGTGAGCGGAAGCTGGGTGCAATGGGGTAAAGTTGATCTGGCACCCTCTTGCTGAGCATAACCTGGGGTCGGGGGATGGCTGGAGCCACAGAGCTGCGCAAGGCTCCCTCAGCATGCCCTGTGGATGAGGCAGCAGAGAGAACCATGGTTCCCTCCCTGCCCTGTCAGTGACAGGCACCCGAACCAGGTGCAGTGGTGGGAACCACATGGGCACCTGCCTTCAGTCCTGGAACTTGCACAAGTTCCCAGGCAGCTGGCCATACCCTTATTCTCAGAGGGGAAACACCCAGTTTCCTGGTTTTCAAGGGTAGCACCCTCTATTCCCTTCCATGTGGCAACCCTCATTCCCAACAATGTCGGGTACCCAGCGGGCTTAGGTCACATTCTGCTGAGCCAAGTTGGGTTCACAAGGCAGTTACCCCTTAAACTAGTGCAGTGGAGTGTCAGAGATGGGAATATGAGGGGTTTCTGACCCTTACAGAAGCCCAAACTCAGACAATAGCTCACTTCTTAAGATACTTCCTGGGCACAGCACCCTGGGTGTTCCCTGGGAGATAATGTCAGATCCTTTTCCAAAACAAGGCTTTTTCATGACACTTAGATAAGTGGGCTGCCAGCCGGTGAGGACTGTGAAACTTGGAGTAGCTAGGACTCCAGCATCTGCACTGTGAAGCAGTTTGTTGGGACTCTGTTACCCTTACGCCTATGGAGGGGAGATTCCCATACCCAGCTGTAGAATCAAGGTTGGCAGCAGGTGCATGGATTTTTCTTTCTTTTACTATGCTCTTGTTCAAAATCTCTGAATCTTACAAGGTTTCAGTTTCTCTCTTGCTGATTTCTAGTGTTCTCTCATGTTCACTCACCTGGAAATGTGTCTATAAACTTGCTTCTTCAGTGCTTTGTGGAGGAGGAAATGGGTGTTGGGTGCCTCTAATCAACTATCTTGAATCTCAAAAAAATCATTAAAAAAAATCTTCTTAATTGGTTTTGGAAAATTCTTTTGTTTAATTCGAAGGTGACTGTCTTTGATATTTGGAGAATAAGCACGTTAGAGTCATGTAGAAGGTTTGGGTGAGAAGCAGTTAGGGGTTTGCAGTGGATTCAAGTTTAACTTGAGAATTTAACAACTTTGTCTCCATGAGACTGTCTTCTTCACACTCCTAACATGAAACACATAAAAGGATCTCACAGGCAGTCCTGAACATTTTTTCTTGTTTGTTTGGTTTTCAAATTTGAACTTCTTTGTTTTTTCTTTTGAGAGCACCTGACTCTGGGTTGTTTTGATTGGTCTAATATTTAAATTGGCTGTGTTTCCTAACTTCAAAACAGCTAGTAGTAGGGGAGGAGGCTAAGATTTTTGGATCTAAAAATAGCAGGAAAAAAGAAAAAAGAAAGGAAAAAAAAATCCACAGCTGGCTAATTAAAAAAAAAAAAAAAAAAAAAAAAAAACCAAGCACACAGCCATATCCAATCTCAGGTCTAGAATATAGTTCCCACTGTATGTTTCAAAAACTCCTTTTACACCCTGCCACACACTGCCAAAGGTGAATCCTTTCTTCTGCTGCTGGATTCTTTCTTTCCTTCATTCAAGGAGTTTGTTCTGAGCCCTTCTTTATGTCAGACACTGGCCTTGTAAGGATGAGCATGCCCTCCTAGCTCCCAGGCTGACAGTCCCTAGTGAACTGTGTGTACCTTGTAGGGACATTCTAGAGGGGCTCAGGGAGGGACTCTCCATGATGTCATGAGTGCAGGTGTCTCTGGTCACTTTTTAATTGCTTTAATAGTGCTGGTTATTGGTGTCATTTTTTTTTTTTTTTTAAGAGAACCAGTATAGAATTTTCCACAAAGACCTGGCTTTGAAGACTGATTTACGGCAATCATCTTTCCAGGTCCCTTCACAGAAGTTCCTCAGAGTACCACAACATGTCTTGTTTGGGAAGAGCAGAGTCAGGCCCATCTGCTCGGGGCCTGAGGTCTCTGGCATGTCGCAGAGAGGTTCCCACGCTGCCGCGCTCTTGCTGGAGGTCTGTGATTTCTTCCCTTCCCCTTTGTCCTCCCCTGAGGATGGGCTCACGTGCTCATGACTGTTTCTGGGCCATCATTCTCCTCATTATACATGTGGGGAGCATCTTTTAAAATGGAAGCTGGCCTTCCCCTGGGTCTTCTCCATGACTTCTTGTTTTGGGAAGCTCCAGGGGGCTCCTTTAGCTTGTACTTGGGTAAAATCATTTCTGTTGGTTTCTCATCTTTGTTCCTCCACTGCTTTTTAGATACGGAAGTCTTTAAACTAATTTATGTGAAAGCTGATGCTTCTCACGTACATATTATTTTCTGTTTCTTCGGGTTGATTTTGAGTGGTTTGTCTCCCTCACGTTCAGTTTTTCCCACCTGCACTTGGGAAATAGTTGACTAAATTTAGCTTCATTTGAATAACTCTGAGCATGTACCATACTACTCCACATGATTTTTTTGAGTATTTTAACCAGTTTCTTTTCTTTTTAAAATCTCAGAGAGATCATCTCAAATATTTGAGGCTCTGCCCTTTCCTGTGTCTGGGTTTGCATTTTTGTCATTTGGCCAGGACCTTCCTCCTTACCCTCCTGCTTGCATGCCCTGGGCTTCTCTCTGCTTCCTCCCAAGTCCTGCTGGTGCCGCCTTGATCAAGCAGTTTTCCTGTGTCTCTAGCCCTAGCATTCTCTTTGCCTTGTGACCACTTATCACCTCCATCGGCAACTCGATGTTAGTCATAAGCCATCATGTGACATGCATCAACCTTCTTGGGAACTGTCTTCCAAGAAGTCTTTTCATCTCTGGGCCTTACGTCACTTATATGATATTCTCTTCCTTCTGAGTACTCAACAGAATTAGATTCATTAAAAAGATCATAGGTGAGCTGGGGCTGCGTCTCAGAAGTGGAACACTTACCTCGCTTGTGTGAGACCCTGGGTTTGATCCTCAGCACCACATAAAAATAAATAGGTGAAATAAAGATATTGTGTCCAACTATAACAAAAAAAAATATTAAAAAAAAAAGATCATAGGTCCCTTGCTTTCTACTTCTCTACCTTTAGCTTTAGTTACCTACTTGGGGCTTTTCCTTTACAAGAAGAGTTTCTTACCTTTCTGAAAAAAAGAGTTCACCACACAGCTTTACATGCCTGACCAGTGTCTAGGCAGGCTGAGGAATGTATCCAAATGTCAATCTCTTGGAACAGGATGAACTGCCTGGCCTTTATGACTTGTGACCTTTTAAGCATAGCACCCAATTTACTAGGTACCAAACAATTAGTTATTATAAACCCCTTACCTCTTAAAAAACAGTTGCCTAATAGATTGCAAAAGACTATGTCCCAGGCTTTGATGGAATACATTTTTTTTTTTAGTTCAGTTTCTCAGAGTATAAAAAAAGAGAAGGGTTTATAATCAAATCTTTTTAAAAAAAAAATTTATTTATTTATTTTTTAGGTGTAGATGGACACAACACAATGCCTTTATTTTTATGTGGTGCTGAGGATCGAACCTGGGTCCCGCCCGGGCTGAGGCGAGCGCTCTACTGCTGAGCCGCAATCCCAGCCCCTATAATCAAATCTTATAGGTTTATAAGTAACTTTGTTTCCAATTCATTTAGCT